GGGAGAGAGAGAATCCCAAGCAGACTCCCCGCTGAGCACAGAGCCAGCCGTGGGACTTGATCCTGGACATCATGACCTGAGCCAAAAATCAAAGTCAGCCTCTTCACCGACTGAGCCACCCAGGTGTCCCCTGACTTATATTTTAAAAGAAGAGCTTAGGCAGCTGGGGTGATGATGGGATGTAGAGGGCAGGTGTGAAACCAGGGCACCAGGCTGGAGCTGATGGTGGCTCAGAACAAGAAGGGTGGCCATAAGAGAGGGCAAAGTGGTCAGTCTAGATTTTGAGGGCAAGGTCAACAAGATCCTGCACATGAGGTGTGAGAGAAAGAGAGGGTCAAGGATGACTCCAAGGTCATCCTCAGGACAGAGTTGCCTTCAACAAAACAGGTTTGGGTGGGGCCACAAGGAGTTTGGCTCTGGACATGTTGCATCACCCTGCAATAAGGGGCTTCTTTTCAAAAACTAGTCTCATCATGCCTGGTTCATCCTTATGTTTTCCATCTTCCCTGGCCATAGAAAGATGGAATTCCTCAAGGCTTAGGACCCTACATGGGATCCCTACTACCTCTCTGGCCCCATATTTGTATCAGATTTCTCTTTAGGCTCATTCTTCCGGCCACACTGGTCTCTCTTCAGCTCCTTGAACATGGTTGCTCTTTCCAATCTCCAGCACAAGCTGATTCCCCTGCCTGGAGTGCCCAGCACCCTCGACTTCTGCTGCCCCCATTCTCCAACCCAGTTAAATCCTGCTCAAACTTCAGATCTCAGCTTAGGCTTCTTTACTTTCAGGAAACCTTCAGGTCTCCCCCTGTGCCATGTCCTAATGTGCTACATTTGTTTCCTGTAATTTTGTAATTGTATGATTATTTGATTCATGGCCTTCCCGCTACACTGTAAGGTCCCAGGGGGCTGGATTCACAGTCTGTTTTGCTCACCATGGTACCTCCAGTGCCTCACACAATATCTGGCATACAGTAAGTATTTTGTAAATGTCTGCTGAATGAATGAATGATGGCTTATTACCCACCCACAAGAAAACATCAGCCTATACATTTATTCTCTTGCAGAGTCTTTGTATAATTCTAGCATAAGGAACACTGACCTAGAGAGAAGCACCAAGGAAATAGCACATTATCATTTATAATCATTCAGAGTTCAATATGCTCATTCAGGAATCCAAGCCATGACAGATCCCTTTCCTGTAACATAGGGCCTTGCTCACCAGACTTCTGGTTCCCCTCAGATTTACATTGTCCAGCCCTTTGAAGACAGGTTAAGTCATGTGACTTGCTTTGGCCATTGAAACGTGAGCAGAAGTGATAGGCATCAACTCGAGGCAGAGGCATTTGAAAGCTGGTGTGCAACCCTGCAGGTCGGCCCGCCTGTATTAGCTTCCGGTGGCCGGCCGGAAGAGTGTATCACAACTGAGTGGCTTTTAACCACAGAAATTTATTCTCTCACAGTTCGGGAGGCTAATAGTCCAAAATCAAGGTGTCAACAAGGCCATGCTTCCTCCGAGGCCTCTAGGGAGGAATCTTTCTTGGACTCTTCCAGGTTCTGGGGCTTGCTGGCAATCCATGGATTTCCCTTGTCTTGTAGATGCATGACTCCAGTCTCTGCCCTTGTCTTCCCATGGCCATCTTCGGTGTGTTTCCTCTGTGTCTCTGTGTCAAGGTCTCCCTCGCCGTTCTCTTAGAGGGATACCAGTTACTAGATTTGGGATTCCACCCTCGTCCAGGATGACGTTATCTTAAATTGATTACATCTGCAAAGACCCTACTTACAAACAAGGTCACACTGACAGGTACTGAGGGTTAGAACATGAACATAGCTTTTGGCAGGGACGCAATGGAACCCGTTCTCCCCATGCAGCACATGCTGAGGTGGAGCCTTTGTCAGCCTGGTTCCCGGGATCACTGCAGTGAGACAGGTTTGTGCCTCCATGTTCACCTCAGTTCAGTTCCATGATGTCCCCCGAGTTAGAGTAGTGGGCTGAATCACCTGCCCCGGGTCAAATATTTATCCTCATAGCTGTTTGATGACTACATTTCACTGATTCATGCAAATTAAATGTGCCTGTGCTGTATATCTTTTTCCTGTGACCTGTTTTCCAGACTGTCTTCTATCGAATATATTCCTGTTGATCATTAGTTACTGCGTGCCTGCCATATGCCTATCATTGTGCTATGTGCCAAGAGGGATGTGCGGGAAATTAGACACAAGGAGCCCAATTATCAGGAATATATAATCTAATCTGGTGGACAAAACAGAAAAAAAACTATCAGTGTTGGCTGAAATTATCAGAGGACACCAAATAATATGACTAAATAAGAGGGAATGCTAACAGGACTTCTGGTGCGTTCTAGGTTCTATGGTAAACACTTTGCAGGTGTTACATTCTTTCATCCACGTGGAGGTTGTAACCCATTGGGTTGGTATTTTTGTATCTGTTTTACAGGTGAGGAAACAAGCTTAGAAAGGCTGAAGCAGCTTGCCCAATGGTCATTCAGTATTCTAATCCAGGTTGGTCTGATTCACAAATTTGGGGTCCTATGGACTTTACTGACCTTTCAATTCAGTTCAGCCTTAATAGCCTGCTAGTATATGATGGTCTACACTTGAGCGACGCCAAGGTTGGTTCTCCTTATGCAATTATCCCTGGGCTGAACTTATCATGTGGCAATATCAACAGTTTGCAGTAATAAATAGAATAAAATAGTTAAGCTACTCTTCAATTTCGATCTCAGCGTTGTTAAAGTGGCCTTCCCACCTGATTTCTATGAACTAATCCAAACTCAACCTTTCATCTTTGCCTTTATAAGATGGAACTTTGAGACTTTAATTCTCTAAGCTGGCCATGGATGCAAAGATTTGTCCTATCAGGGGCCATCATTTCTCCTCTAAAGCATTAAAAACAATTAAAAGGAACAACATGATCAAAAGAAACAACATGAAACCAACCAACCCCATTTTTAAGTGTTTCCAACCTTGTTTCAAAACAACCTTATGAGGACTGTTTTCCCAACAGCCATGTATGAAGCCATCCACTTTTGAAATCTGATTTTCCTGTGTAGACATAACCTGTTTTCTATGCTTGGAGAAGCAGGGAATACCCAGGCTGGCACTCAGTCGTAGCAAATATGAAATAGACCATTTTTTAAAAAATTGTAGGAACGTTAAAATCCATGTTGACTGGTTTTTACATTTACCCGGCAACATTCCCATGCTAGCGTTGGCATGGAGACTGGAAAAGGAAACTTTCCACCAATCTGTCACTTGCTACTGTTTCCACTTATTTTACTGTGAGTCCAATTTTAACAATTTTTTAACATTAAAACAAGTTTAATTCTTTTTTGTTTTGTTTTGTTTCAGGACGTCTCTCAAACATAAAAACACAGGCAAAGAGAAAGATTTTAAAACAGTCAAAAATTTGGTTTTCCAAATATTCAGCTGTTTAACATTCAGATAATTGCCTTCCTTTTTTTTTTTTTCCACATTTAGTCTGAATGCTTTGGCATGGGGAACCCCACCGTCTGAAAGTAACTTTGTCTCAACTGTACTCACTGCGTCTGTTTGTTTGTTTATTTATTTACTTATTTATTTATTTATTTTCTCACTGCGTTTATTAAAGAGGCTGAAAGACTCATCTGCTTTTCAACAGTTTCTGGTCCTTGAGGGACCAGGGAAAGCCAGAGGTTCTGACAATTCAGAAACAAAGTTGGGTTTCCCAAAACTTCGGCGCAAGCAAGGTTGGCAGTGGTCACAGCGAGGTATTCATGAAATCGTTTTCATTGAAGAAAAACAAGCTGTGATTCTTGGAACTAGGCTTGGGTCAGAGATGGAAGGCAATGTGTCACTCGTTCTCTCATGAGTAGCCTAGAGCCCAGTAGGCGCTCAAGTCATGTTTACCTGAATGAATTCATCACAGCGATGCTACATGGCGTCTTCCAAGAAGGAAGGGTGATTTTCCTGGGCTGGAAAGTAAAAGAAGAAAGAGCTGCCTACCTACAGTTCAGGGGGCCTCAGCCTGGCGGCCCCGAAACCAGGCGTTCTCATTTCCCCTTGGCATCATCCTGAACTGCTCTGCCTGAAGCTGGCGCGGTGTTACAGAAGGGAGGAAAGGCATGTGGGGAAAATCAGAGAGGAGAGGGTCGGGAACAGATGTGAGCATAAAGGGAAAGCATTAGAAATGAAAGAAAGAAATTGGACTCCCACAGCTGGAAGGACAAACCCCACCATGTCGTCAGGGATGTGGGATTAGGGGTGATTTTGCTTGCCCTTTGTTCTTCTTTCCTGTCTTCCACGTTTCCCGGTTTATTTGTTTGATGTGTGTCTTTTCTGTTCGGTTATTGGACCATGAGGCCAGACACCAGTGGCCAGTACCTGGCATGCAGCAGGCGCCCTGCGAAGACCTGCTGAACAAATGAATGGGTTCGGAGGCTCCTGTCCCTCCCCTCCCCGCTCCCCCGGGTGTCTAACCGCCCAGCACGTAGTAGGCGCTCCCTAAACATCTGCACGGCAAATGAGCTGCAAGTTTTCGGCGCCCAGCACGTGGAGCTTTGGAAACCAGGACAGTGAACCAGCGTGTCTCAGACCACAAAGCGGCTGGGGCGCGTGCGAGAGGCGGCGGCGGGCGGAGGCGGGAGGCGGGAGGCGAGGCGCGGGCCGGGAGCGGGGCGCCCCGCGGGGGGCGCTGCCTGCGTGGCGCCCGGGGCGGGGGCGCGGGGAGCCGCGCGCCGGCACGTGCTCCTCCCGGGGCCGCCGGGCCGGGGTGGGCGCGCGTGTGCGCGTGGGGGTGTGGGGTGTGTGCCCGCGCCGTGCCCCCCGCGCGTGCTGCCGGGCGGGCGCCGGCGTGAGTCACAGCGGGGCTCGCCTTTATAACGGCCCGGAGGCTCGCGCCAGCCGCCCGCCAGTCCGCCCTCCGGCCGCTCCGCGCTCCAGCGAGCGCGCCCTGGCCCCGCGCCCCCAACGGCCCCCAACCGCCGCGCAGTCCCGAGGGCGCCATGAGGGGCCCGCGCTGCGCCCCGCTGCTGCTCCTGCTGCTGCTGCCGCCGCTGCTGCTCACGCCCCCCGCCGGGGACGCCGCAGTCATCACCGGGGTAAGCGGCCCCCGGCGCACCTGTCCGCCCGGGATGCGCGCCCGCGCTGCGCCCTGGGGGCTCGGGCGGGGGGTGGGGAGCGGCTCCGGGAGGGTCGCCCCGGGCGGGGACACCTGCCCCAGTCGCCCTTTGGCGCTCTGGGAGAGGTGCCCTGCTCCAAAAGCAGCGGACGGCCTGGGACCCTGGGCGCGCCGTGGAAGAAAAAGTGACCGAAGTGTCACCGGCCTCCTTTTTCACCACCTTTCCCCCCTTGCTTCCCTCTTAGACCCCTGCAAGCTCTCTCCTCGAGTTTGGTCTGTTTTTCTGTTAAGCAGAAAGAAGTTTGCTTTCAGAGTCTTCTCTAGCACTTCTTCGAGGCGTTCCAACCTCGAACCTTAAAATTTGGGAGACCCTCTCTGAAATGCAAAGGGGAAAGACGAGTATCCCCCAATCCTGAGACTTAATCCTCTGGTCAAGGAGTTTGCTCCCCTTGTACCCTCCGCAGAAACCCCTTGAAATAACTTGGTCCGAGGCCCTGTGTGCGTTTTGAAAAGCAGTGTGGGCGCTTCCTTCTGGTTTCCAGGGCTTTTTTTTTTTTCTTTTTTTTCTTGAGCTTCTTGAGGTTTTCCTTTTAAAAGTTTTCCATTTCCAGTTCCTGATAAAACACCTCCAGTGTTCGGGCATAATTATGGAGTAGGTTACAATGTAGATGTTTGTTTCAACTTAGAGAAGTTGTCCTCATCATTTTTGAAAGTAGGAACTGAGTCCATTCTCTCCTACTCCCACCAACAATTCTGTGTGTGTGGATCTGAAGGATGAGTTTACAGTAGTCTACATCAACAGTGCAAAATCCCTACCATTTCCTGGTTGCTCATCTGCTTTACTCTTTTATCTTTTTTTTTAAGTCCATTAAATTACTTCAATTATCTAAGGCACACTATGGGATTTTAAATAAGACATATGTTTGAACTGATGATACATAATGACATACTGAAATTTGAGGGAAATCTGTCCTTGTCTTGAGAAAACAAAGCTCCATAGTCTCTCAAGTTAGTTCATAAGTTTATAGCATCTTGAAAGCCCTTGTACAATAACAGTATTTGGTTATATCCAATAGGTATTATAAGCATTGTATTTATAAAATAGAGGTTTTTTTAAAGTGTCTTTGAATAGCTTTGTCAGTCAGTGTGGTTGAAAAAAAAAAAACTTTTTACAGGTCTTTCTAATATATGAGTTGGAACATGATTGGGTTTTTTCCCCCCTCTTCCCCTGCTGGCTCATTTTAAATTTCTCCTAATCCTCTGAGCCCAGAATTCTTTTGCAATATAAGTATCTTTTTGTTCCATTCACAGGACAACACTATTTGAATAGATCTGCAATGGGTTAAGGATGAAGGGCATTAGGAAACAGCGGTCTAATTAAAAATATATAAGCCTATGCATTTTCTTGTAAATATTTCCAAGAAGTGATGCTTTTTGTAATAAAAATGAAATTTTATCACATGGGATGTTTATCTGTTGGAGAGGCTTAGAGTGGACTTCTCTATGCTGTTTTTGTTGTTTTAACTCAGTATTACCAAAAGAGAATTTTTAAAAAATTTCTCTAAGCAATGTAGCAATAAAGAAATGTAGTTATGTTTTCATGACAGGAACCATCTGGAGCCAAATGAAAAACTTGGTAACTTATTGTCTTTAGGATGTTAAACATCCAAGTGATTGAATTTTTGGAAGATTTTGGCTGGATTTTGATTGTCTTTTAAAAAGGGTTAGTGGGGCTTCAGAATTCCAGGTCTTGAGCATCTGTTGTCAGAAAATACTGCCTGAAACCTCCACCTTTAATATTTATTTTTTATTTTTTTGGTAATAGGTGTAGTTATTTTGAAATTGATTTATGTTCCACATAAATTTGTTAAAACCATATTGGAAAAGATCATGTACAGAACCTCTCATTTATGAAATGTCATGGCCACGTATACATGATTTCTAGCATACAGCTAAAAATTGAAAAATTGAAATGTTTGGATGTTTTCCTCTGAATGTCCTAACGCCCCAAGGTGAAAATTGTATTTTTTCAAATTGTATGTTTTTGTCCATATAGTTGTTTTAAATAGACTGGGAAAAAAACTCTAATGAGGGAAATAAAGCAACTCTAAAGCAGGATGGTTGGTAATTTTTACCAAAAAAAGCAGTGAATAAGGGTGTGCCCATATATTTATGTTTTGAGAACTTGTGGCTAGGCCCAAAACTTTGAAGGAGAAAAACGTGGAAGGAGTGTTTTAGTTGTTTCCAATAAATGTAAAAAATTTAAATTTTTGTCTAAATTATAGACTTTTTAGTTTCTTACATATATAGTACAGCATGTTTTTACCTCATCGCTAGCAAAACAGATTATTACACACCATTCAAACAAAGCATTCTATTTTTTGTTGGTTCTAGGGAGGAACAATTGTTCTTCAGATCTATTTTTATGCAAATAAATTTAGACTGCATTATTTATTGCTATTTAGATAGAGTATGAAAACTCCTCCATAGTTGATTCTTTAATTATTTGTATTTACAATTTTTATATTGGGAACAGATGCCTTGAGTAATCATTGTTGATAATTGCATCTGTCATTTGCATTTCTAAATCTGATTAATCTTAAAGAATAGTTCAACTGATTTTGTAATGTACACATGTGCATACCCTAAGCTAATAATTTCCTTTTTGCAGGTTACTCACCCGAAAAAAAAAAAAAAAAAAAAAAACAGTAACCTAAGACAAAAGTCCTGGTTTGTCCACCCCAACCTGTGAAATTTCTTTTTTTAAAGAGGAAATGTGAAAATCAAGCCAGTGGTTTGAGAAACATCAAGTCTCATGAACCAAAATGCAAATATTTGAAAGGGAAAATGAGCACTTTTAAAATTTACATCAGTGCCTTTATGGGTCTGGAGCATTTCATGTCAGATTTAGAGACCATTTAAATCCCTTTTTAAAATTGGGCCCAATGTATTCTGCGGTTAATAGTCATAAAATCTTGTGATTCCATTTATGTAGTTCCTAATGGTCATGTATGGTATAAGACTAACGCAGACTCGTTTTTCAAATTCAAAGCCAATTCAGCCACAAAACACTAGAAAAAGAGGTGATTTTCTGTGTGTGTTTATTTAAGATTTTCATAACCTGTGGGTCATTCTTGAGGCCATTTTTTTTAAACTAGGAAAATCTCTCCTGTTCAGATTTTATGGTAAATATGTGCAAGCAAATGAAGATTACAGTTCTTTTTTATATGTATGATTATTAAAATCCTAGTGGTTGGAGATGTAAAGAGCGTTTTTACCGCTAATTTTAGGTTTCCTTAGCCCGAGTCGTCCCCGCCATCCATAGTTATCTGTTTGTTTGTTACATTTCAGGCCTGCGACAAGGACCCCCAGTGTGGCGGAGGCATGTGCTGTGCTGTTAGCATCTGGGTCAAGAGCATAAGGATTTGCACACCTATGGGCAAAGTGGGAGACAGCTGCCACCCGCTGACTCGTAAAGTTAGTATATATATATTGGTATCCATGGTGGTTCTCTTATGTTGCGGTAACTCAACTCCAAGCAAGGCCTGTATGACAGGAAACCCAGGCTAATGTGCTTGAAATTATAAGTTGGAGAGGATGGCAATGGAAAGCTGCCTCCTCCCCCCCTCCCCTCCCGTTTTAAAGAACTGGATCCTCTACCATCCTTATTCTAGTGAATCATTTTCATATCCTTGCTCTCATGACATTAGAAACATTTCAGAAAAATAACTTCCAACACATGAATTTGCCTAAAAATGATTTAGGACAAAAATATATGTGTGTGGTACAGTGTACACTTCTTTGCAGCAATCGGAGTATGGAAGTTCTTGAGAAGACTCTTAATATCAGACCCACTGATAAGGCAGAAGTAGATAACTTTGGGGTTTGTTTCTTGCACAAGATCATCAATGATACTGTTATCCTTGTATCTTAATTTAAAAGTCCTTTATTTTCACCTAATCTACACAATACACTGTTCATAACCATAGAGGTTAATGATATTTAATTTTCCAATTTGTTCGGTTACCTAACAGTTCAGTGTCCCTAAACAGCACTTTTGAACAGTTTTGGCAATAAGTGGCATGACCTTATGTTGGCAGGATCAGATGGCGCTTTTGAGGTTGTGTGGCAGAGGCTCCTGTGTGCAAGGGCCAGTCAGCGACATGACTCAGGAAGGTGGGGTGGGTTAGAGGCAGGAGGGAGCAGAAAAATGTGTGGAGCTTGGAGAGTCTTGGCCCTTCTGAATCAAAACTTAAAATGGTGGGATCTCAGTAAGATGCCCCAGGGACCCAGGTGGCAGTGCCTTGCTCCCTTAGCGCCACCTACTGGTTTTACCCAGCAGCAAAGGGAAGCCCCAGGGCCCTGGATGGCGGGGTCCCAGGCCAGGTGGCTTGTTGGAGGCAGAGCTCAGTCTGTCTGCAGCATTCTCTCCCATTTGAAATAGATGGAATGTTTTCCAAGTAATCTACCTTCTGGACTCTGCCTTCTACCTTTTTTCCTTTTCCATATGTGGTTTAGGGCTGAAAGCTGTAGTAAAGCCCAACATCTTCCCTGTCCTCGACAGTTGCAGATGACAGTTAACTGTTTTGACTTTTCTCCGAGTGAGGGTAATGAAATAAATGGGCTTATGTTCAGCTCTGTGAGCTGTCATAGGGACTCCACTTGTTTGGGTCGCTCTGAAGAGAGTTTGGCTTTCCTGTGGTTTCCTTGAGAAATAACTTCCTGTTCCGTTTAGACCCTCCCTCCCCGTGGCTTCACTGTCGTTGTCACACATGATACGCACCTTTTATTCCTGGCCACTTTAAGACAGGAAAGGTTGTAAACCGTTAGCGGTCTGTCTCAATGCCAAGCTCCCAGTGAGGAGGTGACACCAGCCCAGCCACCTTTGGCACTGATGTCACTTTTGTCATCAAGTGCAAGCCAACTTTTGTACATTCGAGCCACTGTGCTTGAAAAGTTTGCTCTTAACCTTTTCTTTTAAGAATAGTGTTGTTTTTGTGCAGTGTTAGTATACCCTTACACACCCTGCATACCAGAATTGTGCAGCCTGACATGTTCTGTGCAACTGTTCTTTGTCATCATAGCAAAGCACAGTTGCCCCTTGGTGAGGGCTGGGACATCCCAGACGCCCTGTACTAAATGTTGGATATGAGTTTCTCATTTCACACAACAAGCCCGTGAAGCACATTTGTTTCCAGCACCTTCTGCATACAACCACAGTAAGCCTCAGAGGGACTCAGTGACTGGCTGGGGTCACCAGGTGAGAGGGCACGCAGCAGCATGGGACTTCATGTCTGTGTGACGCTCCGTTGGTTGTGTGGTGCTAATCACCATACTCTTCTGCCACCGTGAAAGTGGGTTCGTCTGCTCGGGTTAACCAAAACTGGTTTGTGTGGGATGAGAGATAATGGTCCCTCCTGGGAATATGTCACATCCTGTAGTTCTGATGAGTTTTCCAAATCCGAGATATTTTAATAAGAGAACCAAATTCTCTTTCCCCGGGTGCCTGGATAACTTCCAGTTCAGGTGTATGTAGTGTAAGGTCATTTCTGAGAGTAAACAAAATCATTCTTCTCCCGGAAACCCAGGTACATCTCTACGTCTTTGTTTTTAATCACAGTTGTAATAATGAAGTCTTTAATAATAAGTTATGGTTTTCATAGTAGAATGAAGTGATTAAAGAACTAAAGAACTCAAATAATAAATAAATAAAGGTTTTATGTCAGATCTTAACTTTCCCCCCATTCAGATGCCCACTTGAAAAGTGTTTCTAGAACTCAGTTTTATAACTTTTGCCACTGGATACTTTTCTGTCTTGAAAATACATTTTCCTATGTCACTTCTATTTTTAAAGTAGGTCCCGGAGTTGTTACTTGTTCTGGGCGAAATTAACTTATCCTGGTAAAAATCTAGTTACTTCCAGATTCTCTCTCTACTATGTTCTATTCAAAACAATTTGAGAATAAAAATTTTTTGTAAACGCATCCTGGTGAATGTAATATACAGTATTCAACTTCAAACTACAGTTTCATGGCTCATCAGTAAATGGTAAAAGTGGAGACACTGCATTGAAAATTCTATTTTAATATGATGTGTTCTTTCCTTTTTCTTCCTTTTTTTTTTTTTGAAGGGGGGATTAACTGGTTGTGGTTACAAGGATTGGTGTTTTAAAAACACAAGACTATGAATAAGTGAAGACTACACCTGTTTAAATTTTAAACTTTCCATTCTGGCTTGACTTAGTCATAACCACAAATGTCTGTTTATTTTGATAAAGTGAGTAATAGTTGATGGATGGAATTGCAAACTACAGGTAGGAATTGATAGTCACAGATTGCTATTTTATTTCAGATACATCAACTAATTTGTGGAGTTTACAGTGACTGCTACACTCTAATTTTAGAATTGTACAGTTTTTAACTTTACATTTGATAATTGAAAAGTAGAATAAAAGATCAGTTTACCTAAGAACAGGATGTATGTTTTCCAAACACATTTTTAGTCAAATAAAGGTTTTAACATGTATTCATTTTTAACAATTTTTTAACAGTTAGGGATGAATTACTGAATCGTATATCTATAAGGAATATTTTACTGTTTTAAAAAACCCACTATTTTAATATTTCTCTTAATACCTACACTTCTCAGAGTTTACAAAGATTAGCCATTTCCATCCCATTCTGATTGCTTCTTGGCTTTGGAAGTTTATAATTATGTAGTTAATACTTTTGTTGCTTATCATTATATTTTTGTTTTCAATTTAAACAACTGTGTTTCCGCCCCCCAAATTGTTTTTGCTTCACTTTTTATGTTAACATTTTTTTTTTAAAGATTTTATTTATTTATTTGAGACAGAGAATGAGAGAGAGAGAGAGAGCACATGAGAGGGGGGAGGGTCAGAGGGAGAAGCAGACTCCCCGCTGAGCAGGGAGCCCGATGCGGAACTCGATCCCGGGACTCCAGGATCATGACCTGAGCCGAAGGCAGTCGCTTAACCAACTGAGCCACCCAGGCGCCCTTTATGTTAACATTTTTAGTATCAGTTTTACTTTTTGTTTTCTGGTGGGGTTTTGGTTTTTTTTTTTTTAGCTACATTTTAAAACTTGACCAATACATTCTCCTTTTCTGAAAAAAAAATTAAAATTAAAACCTGGGACTTGTCTGTGTTAAAAAAAAAAAGGATAATTTAAAAATTTTTTAGCAGTTTCTGTTTTAGAACCAACCTATGACATACTTTGTAAACATACTTTCAGGATAGAGTATAACTTTAAAAAATATTAACTAAAATATGACTAATATAACTTCAGAATTTAGTGGAAGATGGGTGGATGAAAGCCTAATATGTTAATTTCCTCATCTTTCCTATGACAGAGGTCAAGAGCTGCTATCTACATTTTCTCTCTCAGGACAGCATCCTCACTGTGAATACAAGTTCGTTGTCAGAGAGACTCAGGGGACATAAATATACTTTAGTCGAATACAGAGTTTCTCAGCCAGGGCTCTGTTGACAGTATGGGGCTGATAGCTCTTTGTGGTGGGGACCATCCTATGCATCATAGGATGTTTAGCAGCATCCCTGGCCTCTACCCACAAGATGCCCGTAGTCTCCCTCTCTCGGTTGTGACAACCAGCCATGTCCCCAGACTATGACACATGTGTCCCCTGTGACGGTCTGGGGGATGGACCTTGCCCTGGTTGAGTGCCACTGGCCGAACGCTACACTTATTCCCCTCACAGGACACAGTGTAGGAGATAAAGCAGCACCACTGCATTGGGAGCTCAGCAGCTACCCAAACACGCAACATGGCTTGCCGTATCTTCCACACGGGGCACTTGTAGCTGCCCCAAGTGAGAGCTACAGTGTGTGTGTGTGGGGGGGGGTCCTCTTGACTCACAGAAGCCCACCCTTACTTCTTGCAAATATTTTGCACCCCTCTAGACCCAGAGGCCCAAGCCTGCACGCCAACAGCTTTCCCAACCCAACTCAAGTTCCACACAAGCCACGAGGCTGACCCCCCCCCATTCCCTGTTTTCCTCTACTCTTTGCAAGGACACAGAGCAGTGGGAGGCCAGATCCCATGTTAACCCTCTCTAGCCACAAGAAGATAAATCATTGCATGATTTAGGGTTGTATGAATATATACTTATTCCAAAAAAATTTTGAAGAAACATTTTAAGACTTGACCAAATTGAAATACATTGGCGATCTTCCTAATTATTAAAGCTGGAAACTGTGAGAGGGGGGCAGGAACCGTGAGACTTTTAGTTTCTGTTTTATGCGCTATTATGCTATTTGAAATTTTTTGAACTATGTACTTTTATTGACAAAAGTTATGGTAACAAAACTGGCTTTCTTAAAAATAAAATTGTCATTTTTTATTGAGGTAAAATTGATATATAAATTCTGTAAGTTTCAGGTATACAACATTATAATTTGACATCTGTCTGAACTACAAAGTGATGACCATCCATCACTCTTCATTTGACCCCCTTCACTCATTTTGCCTACCCCAAACCTCCTTCCCACATGAGACCAGTGCTTTTTATGTGACATGACCAGGGTTTTCTTCGTGTATTCTTCTTTGTATTTTCTTTAGCAAAAGTGACTGTGTTGAGAGAAATTACAAATGATACCTGTGTTTTGTATCAGTCCTATTTTCTCTTTAAAAGTGCCACAAATGGTTAAGAATTGTACCTTGTGGAAAGTGCTACAGGTCCTACCTTGGTTACTTCTAGAATCTGCTTTTTGGAATTCTGGGCTTTTGGAAGTGTTGGATTGAGTTGATTCTAAAATAAACCATCAAGTTGGGACTGAATGGTTAGCTCCTGGGCTCTCTTTGTGCCTCTGAAGATGCATCTTCTCTATACTTTCTCATGTCTCTGGCTATTAGACACCTGTTAACTTTGTTGCACAGTATGTGTAGAGCTAGCGGGCGCCTGTGTGACTCAGTTGGTTAGGCGTCTGCCTTCGGCTCAGGTCATGATCCCAGGGTCCTGGGATCGAGCCCCGCATCGGGCTCCCTGCTCCGCGGGGAGCCTGCTTCTCCCTCTCCCTCCTCCTCCCCCGTCCCCCTGCTTGCGCTCTCTCTCCCACTATCACTGTTGCTATCTCTGTCCCTCTCCCAAGTAAATAAATAAAATCTTTAAAAAACAAAATATGTGTAGAGCTAGAAATGAAGGGGGGCACTGGAGAAATTGCCAAGTATCTATTAAGTGTATCACATCAGAAATGGTGTTCTTTGTCATTAGGGGCTCACAGATGGAAGGAGAGGAGGAAAACTGCTTATGAGCAGGTGCAGATAAAAAAGGCTTGGCAGGGGGAGAAACAGACCGGATCTTGAAAAAGGGGAGTGGGCTTGAGAAGAAGAAGAAGAGAGCAGGCAGGTATAAGGACCCCTGCAGGACAGCGTAATCATGATGTTAGGGTTGTTGGGACAGATCTGGGCTGAGGCCGATACTGCCTTGGCACTCTCCATAAGAAAAAGGATAATTCACAATATTTTTGAAGGATTCACAGAAACCTCTGACCTTGTGAGCACATTGCCAGGGCCCCATGTAGGCCCCGGAAGGAACTCTACACAGGAAGGCCTTCTGCATCTTTGGCTTCACGTAAGTCCATCTCTGTGAGTTTGGTGGCATGAGTCACTTGGGGCCTGCTCAGTGCCGGGCAGTGGTGTGCAGAGTGAGGAGAAGCCACAGGACCTGGGAAGGCCACCCCTCTGCCTTCAGGCGGAGCACGTCTGGGCAGGGGCGGGCATTGGCAGGAGATAGAGCAAAGTCTGGAAGAAAGTGGACTGGGTTTGATTATGGCAGGTTCCCTTTTAGCTGGGTGACTGCAGTTGGCCATGTTACTTCACCTCAAGAGGAAGCCACTTAGCTTGTGTCAAAATAAGGCAAAAATGTGGCATACAGGTTTGGTGTGACATTCATGTGCCATGCCTTATGAAGCCTGGGCATGGCAGGCCACCACTCTAATTTTTCTTTGCTCCCGTTTTCAAGGCACTAAGAAGGCACCTGACAGGCCAGAGAGCACCCGTGATGTCTTGATGCACACGTCACAAGACTGCAAGCATCATGAGGGTGCTTCTTCACAGCTTTAGCTATCCTACTGTTTATGTGTCTTCCGTCATTAAAACTCATGCTGTATCATGGGCCCAGGCCTTTCCTGTTTTGTTCATCACTGTATCTGTAGCACACAACATAAGGCCTGATATGTCAGTGACAGTAAACATCTGCTGAATGAGCGAATAAAGGAAACATGCTTGGTGTTGTCTGTGTATAACAGTTTGACGTGTTCATTATAGTTATAGTTCACTTAGCTCAGGCTCCCTTACCTTGGATATCGCAGCCTCTGTTCTTTTTTCAGAACAGAGGCTGCGATATCCAGTTGGCACATTGGGCCCGAGAGTTCTTATCGTTGGGGGGTTATCCTGCGCACTGGAAGCTGCCTCGCCGCACCCCTGGCCTCCACCCACAAACTCACACTCCTTCCCCCAGTTTGTGACAAACAAAATGTCTCTGGATACTGCTGGATGTCCCCTCAGGGGCAGAGTCACCCCCAGCTGGGGACCACCGGCCCACGCAGTAGTTTCAGGCATGGCCAGATGAAGCTCGCAAAGTCTCAGGGCTAGAGGAGATCCTACAGGTCAAGGGTTAGAACTCCTCATGCTGTCCGCTTGTGATTGTCTGAGCCAGGCAGCTGTACCCGCCTCCCCTGACGTGTTCTCAGTGCCAACAAATGAGCTAGCCATCTGCGTGCCGCCCTTTGACACACACAGTGACAGAACCATTCTGAGCCCAAGTCTGCGTGGCGCCAACGGCTGTGGCACCTGCGGGCAGGCACTGTCATTAGAGCCTTGACAATAAGGCCCTTGGCAAAAGGCTGAGGAACCTGGGGTGGCTCTGCCTGTTCACCTGCGTATCAGTGCCCACCTGCTGCTTCCCTGTCTTCCTTTTGTATTTATTGATCTCAATCATTTCCCTGGCCCTTCCAGAACCATTTTGGAAATGGAAGGCAGGAAAGAAGAAAGAGGAAAAGAAGAAAAAGGAGGAAGGAGGTAAGAAGAACATGAGCATGGTACCCACCGAAAGATAATGCCCAGCATCGTGGGCCCTGGCCACTTTGGGACCACCATACGGAGGGGTCTGTCTTCTTAGTTCAGTCCCCAAATAAGGTTAGAATGGTTCTGTCACTGTCTGCAGACAATTTTTTTTTTAATGTACAGAGAAATTATTTAGAAGATATCTGGAAGATGCATCTCAGACTTTCTCATTAGGACAGATAACTGGTATGGGGCAGCCTGTTTTGGTGGCAGAGAATAGGAAGGAAATACACTAGAATGATAGCAAACAAAGCATCTCAGTTGAGAAACAGACAGGATGCATTTTTCTGCCCTGTGTAAACTGTGTAAGGATCCTCTAATAGCTTGCCTCTCTCACAGTACCCTGGGCCAGAGTAATTTGCCATCCCATTTCATTAACTATCAGTCGCCTCCAGGCCTGGGGTTAAACTTTTGTCCCTATAACTTGCCAAGGAGGTGGATTCTTAAGAGGGCACCATTCCCAGGGGAGAGGGAATGAGTTTTGTTCTTTGCCTCTGGAACGTGTACATATTTTGAGGGACTCCCCTGAAAGGCCCACCATGCCAGTTGCTGGTTGACCCTCCTCAACCCAGCTTCATTGGTGGCGTGGGCAAGACTTAGAAATACCACTTGGATGACTCTTGGAATGAAGCTGGCCTTTCTCTGCTGGCTCTCCCTAGGCCAGGGTTTAGTTTGTTCCTTTTCTGTGACTCAAGCTTGCCTCCTTCCCTAATTTCCCTTTTGTTCCTCCCCTATCGACACTCCCCAGAATTTTGACCCCTTCTGCCATCTGTGTGCAAACGTGTGAGTTTATATATTGCTCATTGTCAGTGACTTCATATTTTCTCATCACTGCGGTCATACCCTTAATGCCATGCCCTCCTTAAGGAGCTTCATTAGTAGGATGCTATAAAAAGAATTAAAATGAAGAAGTAAAAGGCAGTATAGCTTGGTGGTCAAAAGCTTTGTCTCTCTGGTCCAGCTGCCAGCCAAGCTTCAAGTTCTGGGTCTGTGAGCTTGGGCAAGTTGCTAATCTCTCTGTGTCTCGGTCTCTCACCTGTAAAATGGGTATAATGAAAGCATTTGTCATGTTCACAGAGCGGTTATGGGATGAAGAAGGATAATAAAGTGCCAAGTGTATTGCTTGATGAAGAGTTAACACTCAATATAACACTAGCTGTTCTTATTCAAAGACATTTCTCAAGAATAGTTTTTTGTTTTTGTTTTTTAACATTTCCTGCTCTGATTCAGTTTTCTTCTTTTATCTTAGGTTCCATTTTTTGGGCGGAGAATGCATCACACATGTCCATGTATGCCGGGCTTAGCCTGTTTACGGACTTCATTTAATCGATTTATTTGTTTAGCCCGAAAGTAATCACTTGAGAGTAGAAACTTTAAATGTGAACAGCCACATGATGTCTGTAAAGTCTATTTACTTGTGATTGTGCCAAACAAATAATATGCCAGAAAGAAATGCTGTTGCTTTCTCAACTATCCAAGTAACATTTCTATCTTTGATGTTTAAATGACTTTTTTTTTTTTTAATTGAAAGAGGATTTTAATTTTGGATACAAATGTAAAGTGCAGGGCATTATGGAACCGGTTCTCATTTCCCTGTTTGTGTTTTGGTTTGGCTTGGCTCTTTTAATGCCAATAACTCACCCATTTTCACAAAAATGAGGAGAATAAGAATTTGATACTTCGTCACAGAAACGTTTTTTTCTCAACCCCCCCTCCCCCCAGCCCTGCCCACCACACACACACGCACACACACACACGCACGCACACACGCACACACGCGCGCACACACGCGCGCACACACACGCACACACACACACACACACCCTCAGGTCTCTTTTCTCTCCTCAAAGAATTTTAAGGCTCTCACTTTATTTTTCTCCATTTCCCTCACCAGTCCTTTTGCATTTTAAAGTGGGGGGCGGGGTTATCGATCTCCTCTAATTTGCTGGCAGAATTACTGTTGAGAATCAAGCTTTTTGCCTGATACTTAAACAGTGAAGGGTGTGTAGTTGAACTAGACACTCCAGACTTCTCCTAGATGGAGTAGAGGTTGGGGTGCTTCCAAACTTTCACGGAACCTGTGCCTTCAGGTTGGCTGTGTGACAGGTTTGAGTGAGTCCAGAGGGAATGGAAAGTCAATTTGGTCCTTATTTCTAGATTTGGGTTGGTTTTTAAAAAAACAAAAAAACAAAAAAAACACTTCCCCAATACAACAGTACATTTGTTTCTCTTTCTTTTTATGAAGTTTATTTTTTTTTAAGTCTCACAGTTAGAGATGGTCCAGAAAGTGTCACTGGAAGAGGAAGTATTGATTTTATTCTGGCATAACCCTTGTTACCATTTTAAAATCGGTATTAAGTTGTAATTTAAGCTTCATTTGTAACCAGAGGTTCTCTTATAATGGGTTACCTGACATCTGCCATGTGTACCTATATCAATATTGCTGTGTAAAATTCTGTATCAGAATAATGACAGTATTGTATATCATTTGATTTATTTTAATATTATATCCTTATTTTTGTCACAGTTGTCGTCAGTTTTTATTACAAGCAGATTTCTATTAGCTCACATTCTAAAATGGGCAAAGACCCCAACGTGGGTCAGATAGCACTCACAGGATGTGCTTGTGTTCACTTTACATACAGGAAAAATTCTGTTTGCATGAATTTTAAGGTCGTACAAAAAACAATGTGTAAATCAGTGAGGTTTTGGAACATGAAGGAAGATTGTGATGTGCAAAACTGGCTGTAATCAGGAATGGACTCCTGGGATGTCACTGTATTGATTCAGCAAATCATGATCCAGTGTTCATCATGAGTGATTAGGCAGGAGGCTAGGTGCTAGCCGAACGGTGATGAGAAACCTTGAAAAACCCCCTCCAAGTATTGTAAATGGAATCAACGTCGCAAATAAACAACTTATGAAATGTGTTTAACTGACTAAACTTGACCATGCCAACCCACTAACCATTGCAAAAAGAAAGAAAGAAAGAAAGAAAAATTTGTCCATTTTGTAGTTATTTATTCAGCCAAGGCTTACAGTTGCACGTTATATATAACTTTACCCTAGGGGCTAACATGTCCTGTAAATGTATGGGATTTTGCTGTACTCATTACCATACCTGGGCATAGAAGTATTATTTTTGGCTCAATTTCATTTGTGTGCAAGAAGCATTCCTCAGTGAGTCTGTTGGAAAAAAAACATCGACTTCAGCAAGTGGAATTATGGGTAAAGAAACGCACCACAGAGTTTTGCTAAATGTCGCTTTCATATAATGGTTGAGACACCCTTTTTCAAAAGTTGTAAACACTTGATTGGGTCAGTCATCCTTTTTCCCCCAAGTTAAAAAACATCGAACAAACTTTTATAAAATTTTAGTTTTACAAATACCAACTTATTAAAAAAAAAATCACTACAAAGAGGTAGACTGTAGTCTAGAGAAGGAAGGTAGAGTGTGTGTGGGAAACTCAGAACCGTGTCTCCTGACTTGCTCACTGCCATTCAAAGAAAAACAGAACTTTATCATTTGGTACCTCTCCCCTGGGTTATTATTTTTATTGGGGAGTAACTCCTTTTTAGTGTACAGCTTTATTTGGTTAGTTTTTTTTTTTAGCTTGTCACCAAAGTTAGCACTTTTCACATAATTGTTTCAAAAAACTTATAATCATGTTCCATGGAGATTCTTTAAGATAATTGTATGCAAAGCACACAAAGTCTTGTACTATAAAGACTGTGGTACTGTTTCTTCCCATCCCCAGGATGCTCTCTCACCGAAGTTGGCCAGACTTCATAGGCCAGAATGTCTGCAAGGTAAGGCAAAGTGAGAATTTACACAAGAAAAAGTTAAAGTCAGCAACCTACTTTGATGTAAATATTGGGAATGGATTCTATCCATTCTAAGAGAGAAATAGATCTCAGGCCAGCACCTACTGGCCAAACTCAAGTGGACATTTGGATTTCTTTGCAAACACAGACTTTCATGAAAACTATCATTTCTGACTTCAACCTCTTTTTTTTTTTAAGCATCTCTTTTTTTTTTAACCATGGAAAAGTTTGTGCTAAAACTATTTCCTTACAGACCCTCTTATCTAACTGAAGACCTTCATCCTTCCCAGCGTTTCGGTGTTGTTCTGTGGTTGGAGCTCTACAAAGTCAGTCCAGGGAGAGATCACACACGTAAGCCAATTTTCTTCTTCATTGGTTTTAATATCAGAAATTTCATCCCACTCAGAATTTCCTAACTTCAATTTTTGAGAAGATTAAAGCTGGGGACGATTTTAAAAGCAGGACATTTTTGGTGTTCAGTGAGGATCCCTGTTTAAAAATTCATTGACAACCTTTTCTGATCTTTCTGTTTTAACACATGGCCATGTATTTCAGGTAATATCGTCAGAATTAATATTTCTTTGGTTCTTCCACATCTTGCCCCTGGTTTGTTAATGGTCAGTGTTCCCTTCTGCACAAAGGAGAACCGTTTTTCTTCTAGTATCTTTAACAACATAATCCTTAGGTAAATTTATTACCCCCCCAACCCCCACCCCCTGCCCCAAATCAGAGCACTTTCAGAACACACATCTCCCAAAACTAGAGGTGTCATTAATATGCTGTTCTTGAAGTACTGCTCCTGTTTTTTCCCATCATCCGTCACTCTCGGAGATTGTAGGCTTAGTTCATCTAGGGCGAGGCTGGAGTGTTAGAATTTTTTTTTTTTTTTTTTTTTGTAGCTACTTATTTTATTCTAAGGTGCACCCATGTTTGAGAGCCACTGAGAAAGAATAAAGGAATATGCTTCTATAGGAAAGCTGCTGCTTCCCTGGGACACCCCTTGGCAAGACACCTTTCTAGTTAGATTAGTTATCTGCCTTTTCTTGCCACCCTCAGAAGTTCCTATGATCCTTAAGCAGAAATGAATCTGTTTTGGGGATTTTTTTTCCCCACCACAACTTCTAGAAGGATAGTCACAGAAGGGTCCCATGTGAGAGTTTTAACCACAGTTCCATAACTCATTTGAAGAGTCTATTCAAAGTTCCTTGGAATTAGGTTAGGGGAGCAGGGCCTAGCTTGTCCCTGGGCTCTCACGCTAGCCCTGAGGCAGGGCTTGGAGCCACGGGGCTTTCTTCCTCCAGGGGAACCCTCCCAGGTGACAGTTTTCCAAACTGCCCCCTCTGCCAGCCCTACTTTCCCATATATCTCCAGATTTCATTCTAATTTACTTGAGCCCATAAATCATCCAAAGGCTCTAGAAAGTCCAATGTTGCAGCAAATTGTAACTGAATAACTCACACTAGAAAGCATTTAAATAAAACCTATATATGCCACAAGAGAGTAGAAGCCAGAAGGTGGGAAATCATTGTGTGATCATGATTTCTAACGATAAAAGGCACGGTCTCATCTATATCATGTACATAACACGGTACGCACCCTGGTGTCCATGGAGGACTTCATCCTTATGGGGAAGCCTGGGGCCCCTACGCATGCATGAGTTGTGCCAGCCAGGCAAAACCATGGCCTGCCCCCTGGAACGGCAGCTGTGGGGGATGTTTCCAGGCATTCACTCACTTTAATAGAGGATTTCTCAACACCGACACTCCAGACATTTGGGGCCAGGCCATTTTTTGTTGTGAGGGATGGTCCTGTGTTTTATAGGCTGTTGAGTAGCTGCCCTGTCCCCTATCCACTAGATCCAGTAGTTCCCCTGAGCTCTCACACCCAAACATGTCTCTAGACCAAGCGAATGGGTAGGGGTAGCTTGTCCCCCTGTGAGAGCCACTGGTTTAGTCTGAAAATACATTCCGTCTGTATAAATTCTGTTTCAGGATCAAACAAAATTTGAGATGACAGTATTAAAAGAAAAGTTAAACCTCCAAATGGGGCTCTACAAAACAGGTATTCTGAAAATAAGAAATTATCGTTCGAATTCAAAGTTGTGAAAAGGTAAACATCGGATCCATTTTAATAGCCAACCAAAGAGTTGTCAGTTGTACATCAGCTCTATAGTTTCCGGTTTCAAGGAAGCCATTTTTTTATGAGCCTCTCTTTAAAGCTTAAGGCAAAGGGCTCAGATAAAATAACCTCGGTCACAGATGAAAGATTTCACAGCTTTAGAGTGCACTTCGGAGTAAATTTCCACATTGTTTAAATCCAGATTTTCACCATCTTGATTAAACTGTGATATAATTTATGAAAAACGTTTGTGTTGCTGAAACTCAAAAGCTTCACAAGAAAAATTTGGAGAAGACTGTGTTTTTGTATTAAGTTAGATTTGAATAGCTATTGAGAAGCTTCCCAAATTGAGTTTTCTCAGTGCAACTGGGAATGGACCTGTTCCCTATAGGCAGGGCTGAGGCTGGCTTGAGTGTATGTGGCTCATCCCGGCAAAACAAAAACTTTTTATTATGGAAATTTTTAAACATAAACGTAAGCAAAATTTTATAAGACAGCCTCCATATATTCATCCCTGGTATCTTATCAACAGTTCCCATCTCAATGCCAACTTTGCTCCACCACCCCTCCCCCCAGGACCTCCGACTCTCCTGTGTTGTCTTGAAGCACATCAGTTTGGTTCCTGATAGATAAAGACAGCCACAGTCTTGTGTGTTACCAATGATAGCAATCCTTTTTCATTTCATGGCCACTCTCTGCTTGGATCTTGCTAAGGTCCTTTCACTGACCAGCCTGTGCCCCGAAATATTTACTCTTGAGATGTATTTTTAAAATCCCAAGTTGGAG